ACAAAAAAACAAAAAACCAAAAACAAATGCCGGTTGCTATTATCATACTATTTCAACAGTAACGGCCCCCAAGACTGGATACTCGGCGACCTTTTAAACAAAAAAAAACATTTTTTTTTTTTTTTTTTTTTCTTCTTCTAGAGAATAATAGAATTCGAATATATTTGTTGTTTGCTTAAATTTTAGTCGAAACGACATTACAACGGCAAGGTCCCATGAGATATAATCAGTTAACAGTTGTTTAGTGAATCTTGGACGTTGTAGGGAAGTTTAAATAACCAAAAATAGAAAAATATCTCTCTCATCTAAATCTAATCTCTTTGATAAGATGTCTTTAAAAAATATTATGTTGAATGATAAAAAAAAAAAGAAGAACACCTTTTTCTTTCTACTCATTCTCTATGACATAAATTATGACAGAATTCTATTTATATTTGATTTAGAAAAAATAGTTTTCTTTTTATTATAAGAAAATGTATTAGAATATTAAAAACTTAGAAATATGTAAAAGAGAAAATCCTCTAAGCTCTTCTTAATTTTTCTCTTTTTTAAACTTAAATATCGACTATAGAAAATAATTCAATGTCCTATTTTACTACTTTTTTTTTTTTTTTTATGAACAATAAGTTTTATTAGTGATGATAAACATGTCTTTTTATTTTATTTAGATGCTTTTCAGTTTTCTACTTTATTACTATTTTTGTTTTAATAATTTATTTATTATCTATTTTGTGTTATTTTAATAAACATCAACTCTTAATTAATCATCTATATTAGATGGAGTAAGAGGATAAATAAATTTTTTTACTTTTAAAATATATGATTTTTGTTTAAGTGAATAACTTTTCATGTTATTGTTATTGTTGTTGATGATAGTGACAGTAGTCTCTTTCTACTCTTCAATTGACTAGAAGTATATTGACACCCAAGAGATATCTTCCTCATTTTTTTTTTTTTTTTTTTCTTTATATAATGGATTCACTCACTCAGAGTAACATCCGTCAAGTTAAATTATTAAAATATTTTTATCTTTCGACTTCTTCTTATCTTTTCATCATGCGCGTGTTGTTCAATCTTCTTTGTCAAAAATCTTAAAGGCTCTCCTATCATTCAACATCATTATCAAATAGTAGAAAAACTTAGTTGTATGTCTGTGTGTATGTGTTTTTTCTTCCTATTTCATGTGACATATATTTTCAATATTTTTTACTTCCGGTTTTTCTTCTTGTTTTTGTGCATGTCGTTGTTTTGTCTATTTTTATCGAAAAGAAAAACCGTCGGGTATATATATATATATATAGATAGATAGATAGATATATAGAAGAAAAAAAAAACCAAATTATTATTGAACAAAATTTAGAATATACGATAGATAATAATAATACCCTCAATAAAAAGTTAGTAGAAAGTGCGAAGAGAGATTTTGATCTAGAGAACAGAAAGAAAATATTCTATCAAATAAATTTATTGTATGAACAAATAATAATTATCATGTTTATCTATCATTAATAGTACAACATATATATTAGAAAAAACACTGTACTTTATTAGAAATTATATATATTATCAATTGAACAATAAATAAAAAAAATATAGACAAATGTACCGACCATATGATTTCAAATACTCCTTCACTCAATGAACCTAAATTTCTTTTTCCTTTTTTTTTTAAACCTTAAACTCCCACAATTCTATCCGATAAAATTTTTTTGCTTTTTCATTCGTTAACTCTTATATACATTAGAACAAACAGAGATCCGTTCAATTTACCACTCCTTCTATGATCAACTATTCATATCTCTAGAACAAGAGATACTAATTATTATAAAAAAAAAAAGAAGAAATTTAATGTTTTTTATTAAGTTGACTTCTTTCAATAGTTGTTCGTCACCGATCATCGGTGGTAAAGAACATTGTTAAACTACCTAATAAAATGGGTTTTAGTTGGTAAAAGATGAATGCTCATCTCAATTAATGTACACCATTATGTTGTATGAGTAATTGGATTATGTAAATAAGAGAAGAAAAAAAAAGAAAAATACCGAACAAACGCATTGTATCTCTTACAAATAATTAAATATCAAAAATATTTATTTACAAAATAGAAAACAAAAAATAAAATAAAAAAGATGAATAGATGAAAAGCGGTTTGGAAAATATGCGAGAGAAGTAGTATCAAAAAGGAGAAGACGAAACAAAAAGAAAAAAGAAAGACTAAAAAAAAACTATTATATTTATGTTTGTTCAATGAACCGATATCAAGAGACAATAAAAAAGTGTCAATTATTTGTATAGATTTGGATTTTTATACGAAAATTCTCTTCAAATATTATGATCATAATTGAACATTGAATACAA